GTTATGGAGCTCCAACGAATCCACTGAATCAGAGAAAATTTCACTTTCTGAATCACTGGTGAGCGGCATAACCTCCAACACTGCAGATTCAGCTGCAAGTAAAATCAAATGTATTCATGTTTGTGTTGGTTTGCTGGGTTTAACGGGCATTTTGCTTTTACAGGAAACACATTTTCAGCCCTAATAGAAAAAATAAAAAATCATTTGTGGAATCTTTTAAGTGAAAATGGCAAAACAGAACTTTTCACTTTATAATACACAGATAATTATTTACATTTATTTAGTATTTAATACATTCAGAGATTTAACTGTCTACACCACCAAGTACAGATTAAAAGCTTTTGTAAGCAGTTGAGACTTTTCTGCTTAAATATGACATAATACACCAGATTTTCCCACAAGCTCTGAAGTAGAAAAAGACGACTGATTAAAGAAATGTAATCAAATTAATACAATTATTCCTGTACTGGAGGTCCAGGTTAATGTTGAAGGATTAGTGAGAAAGGCCAGGTGCAGTACTCCACTGTGGGAGAAGTGAGCAGGACGAGCACTTGTAAGGAAAATACAATAACGATCTGTGATATCAAGGATTGATTGTATGTGAACAAAGGTTTCGCTCTATAACTGGTTTATAATTGATTTAGAGTCCAGCTCAGGTGTCCGAGAGCTGCCTGTCTGTTTACCTTTGACATTGTTAAATTTGGGTGAAAGCTTTTAACACCTGAACATATGATGATATATCCGTGATGAGGCATAATAACCACATAATCCCACTTACAGTGGAGGCATTAAAGGATCCACAGAGACCAGACTTCGCTCCCTCACTGTTCACTTTGTTAAGACCGAGACCGTGTCAAGTCTAAAGTTTGACTTATTAAGTTCACAATTTGCACAGCTACATTTTACAACTTTAGCTACAAGGCAGAATCACTAGTCTGTCATGTCATGTCTGCTCCATACAACAACTATTGTATTTAGCCTGTTCAGCACCATTGAGTCCTCCTGTGCATTTCCAGCTACTTTTTCGTCGCAGGTTTTTAATTTCTTAGGAAAAGAAAACCAATCATCACCTCATAATAACAAATAATAATCATAGCATCAATATAAGATCCACAAATGTCAGCAAAGTCCTAGAGGGAGAAACTATTGGAATGGAGGTGAGGAAAAGTAC